GAAGGTGTGACAGACCTATATATATATAAAACTAAACAAGGGTGACAACACACTGCCCTTCAGATATTGTTGATCTGCAATTTCCATCAGCCCTCGCTAACACAGCCAGTCGTGAGAAGCCGTGGGAACTACAGTTCAGCAGTGACTTCCCCGCCCTGCCCTAAAGTTACCTAGAGAAAGGTCCTAAAACCAGATTGCATATTCATCTATTTCCTCCAAGATTTCAAGATTCTCTCTCTCCCTCTCTCTCTCTCTCCACACCATTAGAAAAACTTTAGGAAATCCCTTTCTGCCCAATGAACTTTGCTTAAATTATTTTTATGCTGTTTTTAACAGTCTCTGAAATTATTAAACTTTTTCAGTTATTTTATCTTTTTTTGTATATCTGCTAAGTCATCTTGGGTCAGAGGCTGCTATCTAAATAGTATAATATCTAAATACTTTATTCAAATTAAGATAGATAAATAAAAGAAATAACATTTATTTTAACTGATGCCTTTTTTAAATTTTAGTCTTAGGATAAATACCCATTCGCTGTATCTCCTCACTCCATTGTTCTTCCTCTTCCTCTTCCTAACGTTTTCTTTCATGCTGGCCTATCCCTTTTATTCCTACCCAACTCAGTACTCAGTTCTCAGACCAGTACTCACTCCGGTACACATGGGACATAAATGTAACTTCTTTTGACTATAGTTCCCCAGAACCAGGCAGCATGTCCAGTCAAGATATAATCCACCCAATAATTTAAGTTTGGACAACAGTAGTAGCTATACAAAATTTTATTTTCTAGCTCTTACCATTTAAGTAAGAGGACTACAATTCACAGAGATCCCCAGGAATATCTTTGGTCTGCAAACACCATAATTCTGCATCTAGTCAAGAGCCAACAATTGATCCAGTTGTATTGAATGGTAAGGCATTTGCATCCACAGAAAATTCTGTATTTGTTCTGTGGACTGTTTTGCTAAGAGGACTACTCCTCCAAGAATCCCCAGCCAACATATAACTTAGCCACTTATTTCAGTTGGGACATTAGTGTAATTAGTACAGCATGTTTCTCTGTCCTGCTGTTTTGTAACTATTTCAATGAAGAAATTAACTAAATTTCAATTTGATTTATAAGTTACTGATGACCAGTCAAATACATGGCAGTTAGAGATGGGGATGAACCACCAAAATTGTGGTTTGTCTCGGTTCGTGGTTTGTGAAGGGAAGTCCCTCCCGCCATCTTTGCAAATAGTAGCTGAGTTTCCCTTCCAGCATCCTAGCCTTCTCTCTCTACCTATCCCCGCAAGGAACAGCTGATCCATGGGAGAGGGAATTCGCTATGAATGTAAAACAGTTATATTCGTCCCTTTGTATCCATCAGGGTCTCTGGAACTGATGAACATGAAACAATGAATATATGATAAATCAGTGATATTCAACTAATGACACAATTCATTTTTATATTCATCCCCATGTCTAATGGCAGTTTATTTGTGAATTTGTTTTCATTAATAGTCTACTCACAGTGCATCATGAAAGAGAACTTACTGAAGATCAATCATGAGTCTTTTGTGATTGTGTATACGACAAGGCAGCAATCCATGAAGTGGGCAGCAATCCATGAAGTGGTGTGTATTTGCAGCCTCATATAATTTCCCCTGCATCATGAAAGAGAACTTACTGAAGATCAGTCATGAGTCTTTTGTGATTCTGTATTTGCAGCCTCAGATAATTTCCCCTTTTCTGTGGTCTTCTATGAGTTCCTTCCTCTGACAATAAACAGGGCTCTCAAAAGAGCTATTCAGTGTGCAAAAGAGCCAGCAGAGGCAATACATAATCCAGTTCTAGCACCAAGCAGATCGACTGGGTTTTATGCAATTAGTTCAGTGAAAAACATTAACTAGAAAATGGAACATCACATAGTGAAGAATTTAATTGACACTATATTACCTTCATATGATTTCTTTCATGTGTCCAAACCAAAGAGTGACCAAAAAATGTCATGAATTGTAGCAGATTGGCTTTTACTCCATTTTCAAGAAATACACTATGGATTAATCATGTCAACTCTCATAGTTGTCTGAGCTTTGGTGTAAATAAAACAAGCCACAGAAGGCAAAAAGAAAAAAAAGAAAATAGCACTATCCATTAGTGTTCCTTGATGTGATTAAGGCAAGTCAAAATGATTTAGAATATTACTGCTGTACAACGCCTGTTGGCTGAACAATGATCTGCCATTCACCTCTAATTCAACCTGGAGGGACCAGGCAGGATGGAGATTGGCTCTCCAGATGATTTGGCTGACAACTTCCATCTATTTCATCGAGCATGGCCTATCATATGTGATTGTGAGGAATACCACTGCAAACATCTAGCTGGCCAAATGTTCCTCATTAGAGATGGGCATGAACCTCAGTATGTGTGGCACCACAGATGACACACGTTCCCTTCCCCAGCAGGATCCCCCTCTCACCATCCAGCATGCACTCGTCTCCTCCTTCTCTTTGACTGTTCAACCAGTCCCTGGAAGGAGCACTAGCTTCCTTGCCCTGATTTCCACTCAGACAAGAGGGCAGGACAGGCAAACCTGTGCTTTTTCTGGGGACTAGTCAAACAGCCAAAGAGGAGGAGGAGAGGAGTGCACTCCGCCTGGTGAGAGGGTCATTGGCCAGGGAGGTGGGGAGGAAGAAAACACACAGCGCCTGGTGATGTGACACACATGAGCCAGCATGACCCTCCAAACCAAGGCTCCTGCCCATCTCTATTCCCCATCCTTGTTGCTAAACAGATCCTGCCTCGGCAAAGAAATCATCAAGGCTACTTGTTCAGTATTTTGGCAAATCTTGTGGAGAAACTGAGAAATTGAGGAACACGTGTCCCATCTTAGAAAACCAGGCTTCTTTGTGTGTGCCTCGAAAAGCTGGCTGAGAATTTGTAACACTAACAAGGAGAGGTTAATACCTGCAGCTTATCAGAGAGAAGCCTTCAAGGCCAAGCTGGCTGGTTCCCCGGTATTGCACTAATTGGGAGAGGATTTCAGCTGTGTGAAGGGAAGAGGGAAGAAAGTGCTCTCAAACACTGAAGGGAACACAAAGCCTGATCAGCGGACCATCTGGAAGGGTAGAGAATGCGATACTCAAAAATGTATAAAAAGGCCTTCCAAAGTTACTTTAGTTGGTTTAGTTTACTTCACCTCTCAGGAGATTTTAAGCTGTCCTGCTATGCCTCCCCATGAAGGATGTACTTGGGGTACGCTTCAAAACTATCCTGATTTCTGCACTAATGCATGAGTATTGTGTAGAATAGTTTAACTTTCTTATATGCTGGTGTGCTATCATGATTGCCTTAGCTTTCCTTCAATTGTATTGTTCCTCCAACTGTTTTTTTAAAAAGGTTTTTGAAACTTTCTGAGGGGTTTTGCTTTCTAATAAAAATATAAAAACCCAGACCAACTGTTTGGGTTTTTGGCTCACAGGGTCTGTGGTACTAAATCCAGGTCTGACCCTGACCATCTACTAGGAGTTTGGGTATTTTATAGATGTGATACAAGGTGAGTGTACTGGTCCTAAGTGCCCAGCCTTGTAGGTTTTTTAACTCCCTAGGAGCACTGGTAAGTCTGAGAAAACTGGAGTGTTGAGAGGCACAGGGGCTAAGCTGGTTCTGTAGTCCTAACCACAAGTCACTCTGCTGGGTTTACTAACACTGGGATAAACAGGGTAGCATGGCTGAATGGCTGTAGAAGGGCCCTTGAACCAAAGCATAATAGACACAGAGGTCGTGGGAGAAAATACCATTCCAGAGCATATAAATCTCTCTTCACCTAAAACAAAACACTTTTTTAAACACAAGCAGTTTTTATATGCAGCTGAAAGTCACACACACAAAGAATGAAGTCCTGGGTGTTCTATGTGCACAAGCCAATCAAGATTTACAGAAGAATCCTATGCATGTGTTCCACCATATTCACAAGAACATCCTATCTTTACGACTCCAGCTTTACAGGTCCATGAAACCTCTCCTTTTGCCATATAAAAAAAATACATATGGATTTTAATATGAATGGCCATGTATAGAAGTGACTGATTTTTATCTTTTACATCTTTTTACAGGGACATGTAGAAAAGGAAGCAGGAAGATATATTTTAGTAAAATTTATCAGAATTGTTTAAGGGTAATTTTGGAAAGCAATCATGTCTCCAGCAATGGTAATCATGTTTTGCCAATTTCTGCCAAGCAGATTACTTTTTCATTCACATGCAATACACCTGATGAACCACTGTTCCTCCTGAACGCTTGTCAGCCTCATGCATACAATGACAGTATTTATTGGTATTTTTCTGTATATAATCTGTTTTGTATCTTACATGGGCATCTACCTGCTACGGTTATAAGTGGAGCTCCCCCTCAACCGTAATGCTACCATCCTAAGAAACAAAGGATACTGATCTAAGAATTGTCAACAGAAATGACAGCTGCAGAGGAAGCAGCATGAATGCATTCACTTTGATACATTATTTTATTTCCTTAATCCAATGCATATAACTCCCCTTTCCTATAAACCAACTCTGTACAAATTTATTTATTTATGTATTTTATGACTCATTACATTCCACCTTTCGTTAGGGAGCTCAAAGCAGAATCTACAGATCTCCTCCTTCCCACTGGGCCAAGGCCATCTCTAGTGCCATCTATATATGGTGACCTATAAGAGCTTCTTTTAACTCCTGGCCTTGCAGAAATAGGGACCATTTTAGTTGCTGGAAGATTACTATGACTGGCTTTATTACTAATTCTGGGCTCCTGGCCTGCAGACTGGCTGTAGGTTCAAATGGATTTCACACTTTGCAACATTCTTGCTCATGCTATAAAACAAGATTATTTCCCCCATTTTCAGCTCCTGTTTCTTCCCTGCCTCCTGAAGGAATTCCAGCTACCTCACATCTTCCTACGAGGAGCTATCATGGTAAAATATAAGGCAAGGAAAGCATTATTCTACCTCTGAATGAACTTACAGGATGAATGGATGCTGGGAAAGCTTTTCCTGCCTTCTGACACCACCGCTGAATCCCCTGTGCAATGCATTTCTGAGTTCATTATTCCATCCGGAAAACAGCGGTAAAAAAAATCAGGACGAGGTCTGCAAGAAACACCATGGGCATTTGAAAACAGAAAAGCAGATGTTAGTAAAATCTCAAAGTTATCATTACATTACAGCATTCATTTCCTCATGTTTTCTACTAAGCAAGGACACTGGAGGCAATGTTAGTTACTTTCACATAGAATATTGTGGCCACACAAGTGGTTAAGAACTCCAAAAGTCTACAGTACATTGTTGGCAAGAAGAAGAATGTACTCCAGAACACAGAGGACTCAATTATAAATACAAAGCAGCTCCTTCTAGAACTTAGTGGGTTTATTTAAGTTTTCCTTTCCAGAAAAGGCCACACACAGGAATTTCTTAGAGGGAAAAAAGCATGGCTTTAGCACTTGTGACATAAAAAGAACTAGTTTCAGATTTTGGCTTGTAAGAGAAGACAATATGATATCAAAGGTCCACTGTTCACCTGCTGATATGCAAAAAAGTAATTCATGAAATATGGCGGAAAGAATCAACAATTCCTAGAAGGACTGCATTATTACCACAATAAACTCCTGCAAGCAGAACAATGTGATGAAACCTCCATAGAATTCCCTGACTCTTGAATACGTTATTTAGCCCACTTTTACTAGGTATTTTCATATAACAGCGAAACTGTTAGAACAAATCATTCATCTCACTATTCTTTTGCACCTTACCAGGATATATGCTGCAATGGTTAGAAATTACTGTCATACTAACTTTTGGACTAAATTTTCAGATTGACATTTTCCTTCAGAATCACTGGAACTTTTTAAAAAATGTAGAATACACAGCTCACAAAATTCAGGGCAGCATTTGCGGGGCCCCATGACTTACCTTCCCACTATTAACTTAATTGTGTTTGTGCAGACTCCGTTCAATGCAAGAGCCAGAGAAACAGCTAAAGAACAAAACAAAAGAAGAACACAATGATCAAGAACTACAACACAAACATTTTATGGCTGCAGCCCATGAAGAACTCAGAAACAAGATTACGTAAGAGATGTGGGCTGGACTTGATGATCCACAGGATCCCTTCCAGCTCCGGAGTTCTAAGAATATTTCAGTATTTGAAGAGTCTTCACCTATCACTTGCTAGTAACCTTCTTGGTTTCCTATGTGATCTTTTGCAGCATGGGTCCATGTCACACTGCTACGTGGAACCTATGTGTTCTCCTTTTTAGTAGAAATGCAGAGGAAATCTTGGAAAGGTGTTGGGACTGCCCAAACAGTAATCATGAAACCCACAAGACTACTAATTGACCCAAAAATTCTATTTGCCGTTAAGGAGTTATAGTGAGAAAATCAGCCCTGCTCTCAGTCAAGCAGATTAGACAAACAAGAAAGAAGAAAGTACGTGTGCCACAGCCTGCCAGCAGACAGGCAGCAACTGATGACAATGGACAAGTTTAGGTAGCTAGGAATCCTCCAGCCACATCAAATATTTCCAAAGAAAGAGTATAAACACAACTACACTTCAGAGGAAGGCAGGGGTTGCTGCCAGTCATCTCATTACTCATTTCTCAAGCACCTGACAAAATATATGGTATTTTACAAAATACTGCCCACCAGAAATATAAATGCAGAGAGATATTGATATCCTGAGCTCCTGACAGGCTGGAACATAAGCTTCAACGACAACAGAAGGAACGCACACTACAACTATGTGTGATCTTTGGCTGCCTGCTGGGCAGACTGCTCAGCCAGAAAGATCCAATGTCCTCAGTAGAGACTACCTGCATGATAGGAGCATGCTGAAGTAGGGGCACGTATAACGTTGTATGTGTATGCACCGCATGTGATGGGAAATGTGGGATGCATGGGTGTGCTTGTACCTTTGCATTTGTGTAAGTGTACATTAACACTTGTTCCCATGACTCTATGTTTCTTAATCTAATTCTTGTTCTTTTATCTAATTCCATGTGATTATTTCAAGAGGCTATGGAACAAGAGCTAGGATATTTTTAAATAACCATACCAGGAATATTGTGATTTGAACGATTCCTTTGTAACTGAGAAGCTTTTCTGAAAATCTAGGATCCCTAGATTTGGCACCCAAAGGGTGAGTGCCACAGGGCTGGGACGGTCACTAAGAGGTTGCAGAATATGTGCCAGCCAAAAGAAAAGAATGTCCAAAGGAGTACCTCTAGGCCTCCTATATGCGGTACGAGTAAAATAAAGAAATCCCAAGCACTAAATATACAGCAAGTTACCAACCATTCAATGATGGCACTAGAACTCTTTTTTTTTTTTACACAACATGCACACTTTAAAAGATAAACTTGAGTGCAGCTTAAGACTGCAGCATAAGATGAAGCAGTCCTAAAATGAGCACTCAGGGAAATCACTGTGAGAGCTGGACTTAAAAGGTGGAGAGAGGAAAGGAGAGGAAAGCAAAATTATATTGACAAGACATAGTGACTAAGAATGTAAGTGGAGGAAGAGCAAGGAATATCAAGTATCCTTGCAGTTGCAAAACATATTAAGGGGCAAACTAGTCAAGATACCACTCATACAACTGGTACCATTCACACAAATTAGTAACTGCAGGAAAGAGTGCTATAAAAATAAGATACAAAATGTGAGGCCCAATCCATAGATCGAACCATGATGTGGAAGATAAGGGGCTTAAATTTTTTATTCACCATTGTGGTCCTAATCCAAATCAGGGGGCATGCCTGCAAATTTATCTTTTTAAAAGCAACTGCTGCACCTGACAGTTTTGTGAATTACATCCGCCTAGTTTGGCCTTAAGTGGCCCTACCTGAGTTACTAATCTTTCAGCTCCCATCTGTAGCACAGGAATAATATTGCATTTCTGCTCAAGTGAGTTGTTGTAAAGATTTGTAAGGTGATTTACACAAAGCACTTTTAACTCCTGACATCCACTATTAAGTATACTACAGGAAAATATCATAGATCATTTGGTACAGAGAGGTAAAATTATAAAAGGACAGGCTTTTCTTTCTTTCTTCGCATTTGTGGCAAGCAGAATTTGCATGGTACTCTTAGATTTTAAAAGTTTAGAAGATCCCCTAATACAAAAAGGAATGATCTTCATTTAACAGCTTCAGCACACCGCTATTTATCTCTCTAAGGACACAAATGCTGTTCAGCATCTTCCACTCGCACATAACCTTTGCCCACTCCTCTCACCTCTGCTTGCTTTTACTACTCGAACAGCCATTTCTGCTGACTTAGGAAGCCAGAAAGAACATGGGTTTTCAGGAAGAATTAAATGTCTTTCCCAGTGATGTCTGAGAACTGTGTCCCTCCATGCTTTTTAATTTGTTTGTTTATTTAAGGGTACATGTTTTCAGGAAGAATTAAATGTCTTTCCCAATGATGTCTGAGAACTGTGTCCCTCCCCTGCTTTTTAATTTGTTTATTTAAGGGTATATGAACATCTGATACTGCTTTCCCCCAAAAAAAGAAATGTAAATACTTTTCACGTTTCTGGAAGCCATTGTTTTCCCATTTAAAAAATAATGATGAATTTCAGTTTTACCTAAAAATGCTTCTTTAATTTCAGTCTTGTCAGTGCGCCGGATGATTTTCACCACAAAAATAACTGCCAGTGGTGTCAGGAATGAAATAGCCTGTGTGAGACAGAAGAAAAGCATGACTTGACATTATACCTTCTCTGAGTCAGTCCCACAGATTTAGTCATATCTAGTTAACTTCATTGAGATGAGCTCAAGAGATTTTTTTTTTACCTCTAAGCAAAGTTGCATGAATAGAATTAGTAACCAAAGAGAAAATATACCTGGAGAGGCTGGGGAAGGCAGCTAAAGGTATCATTTTGAATCTTACCTCACAAATAATTGCTTGGAGCTACATTTGAAGTTGTGTCAGCTTCTGAAAATCGGCGGCTCCAAAATGGCCGCCGGACGCCCCAATCGTCGCAAAGCGAGTGCGGCGATTGGGGCTGATCCGTATAGCGATCCCCAAAAAGGGATCACTATACGGATTTTTCGTTAAACGGTGCACTCGTTAAGCGAGGCACTACTGTACTTACATACCAAAGTGTTCACATTACTTTCTGACAGCTGCTCAGAAAAGGGACAAGGTTTGTGTGTCTGTGGCAAAAGACATAAAACACTGGAGTCCCTTCACCAAGCTCCTTTTCCAAAGCAGGAAATATCTGGAGAACCACACAATTCTCCCAAATTCTGCTGTCATTTTCTTAACTCACTACACCTTGGGATTTTAAGAAAAAACATTATGAAAGTTGTAGAGTATTTTCTGATATTGAAAATCCCAATGTACCGCAGGGTAGAAAAATTGTGCTTATGGGTGTTTATGGGTGTAGGACAAGCTGTGTTAAATCAGAAACAGAAAACAGAAGGTGAAATAAATGTAAAACACAATCATACAATGAAATAAAGATACACTTCTCATACAGTGGGGCATTTCCTACCCCAAAGAATTCCAATATACTCACCTAACAAGGAAGACATTTTCATATCAACTTAATGAGGGCCAACCTTCTCACAACTACATAATGTAACTTCTTCCCTGTATCATGGTTCACCAAAAATGATATGGGGCTTCTTTTCCTTCCCAGTGTATTACATTGGTTGGTACAAAAACATATACCAAAGCAGATAGCAATGTATCTGTCACTTGTTTTTGTGTCAGCAATGATGTTGTTGTTGATGCTGCTATCTTGTTTTTATAGTTAGACATGGGAGCTTTGTATTCATCTCCCGGGGGAGATGAATACAAACCCTGCCAGCACAGGTGTCCCCGCAGAACCAGCCTGGCCCACTTACTGGACTCCTTGGTGCACGTGTGCCTATGGCGGTAACATCATGCCAATCATAGGTGTAGTCCTGCTGGTGCTTCCCAAATTCTTCCTGCAGCTGGCCACTCCAGCAGAGGCAGGAAGACAAGTCTTCCTGATCAGCTGCTGTGCGGTCAGCTAAGGGAAGAGGAGGAGCAGCACCAGTAGGACTATGTCCGCAATTGGCATGATGTCACCAGCACTGGCTGTGCACACACCAAAGGGCCCAGTAAGTGGTCCAGGTTGTTTCTGGGGGGCAGAGAAGGACTGCCGGGACACCTGTGCTGGTGGGCTTCGTATTCATCTCCCCCAGGAGACAAATACAAAGCTCCCATATCTAACTATAAAAGCATGACAACAGCAGCATTATGATTTATAGTAGAACTGCACATAACAAGTGGCTGAAACTAGGAGACATTGGCTGGAATCATATTATATATTTCTGCTGACCTAACACCACTGCTGTACTTTCAATGGCAAATTGCTTCAAGTTAAGAATTCAGTTTAGGCACTTCACAATTCTCCCAAATTCTGCTGTCATTTTTTTAACTCACTACACCTTAGATTTTAAGAAAAAACATTATGGAGGTTGTAGAGCACTTACTGGACTCCTTGGTGCATGTGTGCCCATGGTGGTAACATCATGCCAATCATAGGTGTAGTCCTGCTGGTGCTTCCCAAATTCTTCCTGCAGCTGACCACTCCAGCAAAGAGGCAGGAAGACAAGTCTTCCTAATCAGCTGCTGTGCGGTCGGCTAAGGGAAGAGGAGGAGCAGCACCAGTAGGACTATGTCAGCAATTGGCACGATGTCACCAGCACTGGCTGTGCACACACCAAAGAGCCCAGTATGTGGACCAGGCTGTTTCTGGGGGGCAGAGAAGGACTGCCGGGACACCTGTGCTGGTGGGCTTCATATTCATCTTCCCCAAGAGGCAAATACAAAGCTCCCATATCTAACTATAAAAGCATGACAACAGCAGCATTTTGATTTATAGTAGAACTGCACATAACAAGTGACTGAAACTAGGAGACATTGGCTGGCATCCTATTACATATTTCTGCTGACCTAACACCACTGCTGTAACTTTCAATGGCAAATTGCTTCAAGTTAAGAATTCAGTTTAGGCACTTCCTATTTCACAGTGAGTCACTACAATAACAACTGCATGCCATCAAGTAGATCCTGCTAGTTAGAGAATACATAGAAGTGATATACCATTCCCTTCTTCTGGGGAGAAGGGAATGGTAAATCACTTTTGCTGGATAGCTTAGTGAGTTAGGAGCTAGCGGTGGGGAGTTCAATTCCCCCTGTACCTCCTGTGAGTAGCTCCCTTCTTCTGGGGAGAAGGGAATGGTAAACCACTCTGGCTGGATAGCTTAGTGAGTTAGGAGCCAGCGGTGGGGAGTCTCAAGATGCCCCTAGAAGAAGAAGAAGAAGAAGAAGAAGAAGAAGAAGAAGAAGAAGAAGAAGAAGAAGAAGAAGAAGAAGAAGAAGAAGAAGAAGAATGTGCCATCAAGTCAGTTTTGACTTATGGTAATCCTCTTCAGGGTTTTTGAGATAGAGAATATTCAGAAAAGGCTTGCCATTCCCTTCCACGCACTATTTGTGCCACTAATTTTGGCAATTTATTCCTGAAAGTTATGTGAATGGTATTATACTGGTAGGCTACAAATAATAGGATTTTGGTCAGTGTTTGTAACTGTGCAAGTGACACTACTGTAGAATGCCTACATTGTAGGTCTATACCTGTGCAGATTCTGCAACAAAATGTAACTCTGGGGTATTAAAATGCTGCATTGTAGTGCAAGAGGGTTAAAATGAATCATAAATTTTACTTGCCACAAAGATAATCCAATTAGTTTCCCCTGCGTTTCCATATTCGGATTATAAATTTTTAATGAAGAAACTTACATCTTCTCCCAATAACACTTCTATTTACTTAATTAAGTGCTATAGCACATTACCAACATCATAAAAGATCATTCGGAAAGGTCTCTATGCAATAATTTATTCTAAATGGCAATAATGTTTAGTGCTGGCAATCACCTCCTTCTAATGGGATCTTTATATCAGTTGAGTGCTGGCACTGGCAGCCAACTCCCAGCAGACATATTTTGGGTGGGTACACAATCACCAAAAAGATATAATGACCACTGTTACACATTGTGACTTCAGGGAGATCATTTGTATTTATAGCTCTATGATGCTGCTGGAGGGCTGGTTTAGATATCTGACTGTGAAGTAGAGGTTGGGTGTACAATTCCCCACTGTGCCTCCCTTGACAGGTTCTGGGCTTGATGATCCACAAGATCCCTTCCAGTTCTGAAGTTCTAAGGTTATGGCCACACTTGCCCCAGGACTTCATACATCATGAACCTACTGCCTGAAAAAAAAGAAGTAGATTGGAAATCTAAGGAGATAGGTTACAGATCTACATATAGATAGATGTGTACACTAAGATCCCAATAGCCATATGTTTTCTTTTACTCCCCAGACCTCACACTGCAGCCTCCTGGATACCCCAAATACCACTGCTAATGTGTCATGAAGGATTGCAGGCTTGCACAGAGACACATAAGGATGAGTGGATTTGGAACTTTTATATATATTGGTATTGCCATCCATATCATATAACTAAGAACTGGGCATGTCTGGTATGCACCAGCATCTGTGTTGATAAATGCTGTACAGTACTGTGGAAAATGACAGCAATATGCTTCAAGCAGATCCCAGACTGCTATATATAAAGCAGGGTTTGGTCCAAGGATATTGTAAGATATGCTCTTCATGTTCTTGTAGACTAGTTCACAAGGGCTCAGGAGAAGCCCAAACTGAATCAGGGTTCGTCCAAAACGGACTGACTCTGAATCTAACCTTTATTAGCTATTTAAATTCAGAGGGCCAGGATTTAGATAGTACATCCATAAAAACTAGAATTCTCTCCAAACAATTTATAAAAGAAAAGTGGGGGCAAGGGGAGATATCTTGGGACTGACACTTCTATTTCCTAATCATAGTGAATGATTCTACATAGCTCAGGGTTGACCTAGTGTTCAGTAGTTTCTGTTAGTTCTTCCCAAGGAGTGAGAACATTAAAAGACTTTTTTCAGGGCTCTTTAGGACCTGGGAGTACATGGATGCTTGGAGAATACTGGATGCTCACATCCTTCTGCCACTGCCACTGTATGCATCACATCCATCATCTCTGCCCTGTTGAACTGTCTGTGGCTTTCTTCCCAGCTGAACAGAAGGGAAAAGAAAAATCATAAACTATATTTTATTCATCTTAACACTCTAGTCCTTGTACCTATCCTTCCACTGGTTTTTCAGCAAGAGCTACCTTTCTGTTCTATGTCATTGCCATAAGAGTTTATCTCCATAAAGCACACCCTTCTTGAGAAGCCCTGAAGTGTAAAGGCAGCTTTCGCAAAATCTCTATACACATGTTCACCTACAATCTGTGTAGTTTGGTCTCATGAGAAGGAACAAACAATTCGGGGCAGGGGGGGAGGGACCATCATTTTTTTCCAAGAAATAAAGTTATCAGAAATTATCTTTTTCACAAAAAATGGTCTAAAAGCATGTGTAAAACAAAAAACTCTCCACCTATATGTCTGTAATTTGCTAAGTACAATTCCTTTAGAAAGAGCTATAAGTACTGCAGATTTTATCCAGGTTTGAGGGGGGGAAAGTTGAGGAAATTTTAAACATTTCTTATGATAACCAATAGGAGACTAGAAGACTTTTTATTTGTAAATGTAGATTTAGATTCAAATCCAAAATAAATTTTAAACATTGGCAACCACTAAGT